TTGTTATGAGTTGATTTTTTTTTTTTAAGCTGATCTTTAGGATGAAAAAAAAATCTCAGTCGCCTAAAGTCCCCGGGAAATTGCTACTGTTGGGGGAAAACGAAACATTTCTTGCAAACAAGAAAATGGTGAGTTGTCAATTGCCGCTTCTGCCGCCAAACTCGCTCAGTTCCATCTCATTGATACTCGCTGGTTGCTCCTCACAGTTACAGAATCTGCTCACAGAAGGAGCGATCAGATCTGCTTAAGAGACGACACCGAGACGTTCCCCCCCCTCCCCAAAAAGCCCTGTGTGTGTGAGTGTGTGAGCGTGGGTGAGCCGTGCGGCAGGACGGGGCCGGGCGGCGGGCAGCCCCGGCGGGGCGGGCGGGCGGGCTCGCCGCCGCGGCGGTGCGTGCCGCTAGATCCGCCCTAACATCTGTCCGTCTCACCATTGGCGCATCCATCAGTGTCACCCTGGCTGCACATTGCAACGACAACACATCAGACACTACACAGACCGGGATTCGGTACAAATAACCAACATACTAAACAACTTAACCGGGGAGGAGGGGACCAGCCGCAGCATAAGTATTTACAAGCGTTAGACAGCCCCGGCAAGCAGGGCTTGGCTGCGGTTAATAGCTCGTTCATTCTCTCTCCCTCCTCCCCCTTTAAGTAGGAAATAGAAAAACTAAATAATTCACGCCCCCCACGCCCCCGAAGGATGCTGCGGGCCGGGGGCAGGGGCAGGGACAGGGGCCGGCTGCTGTCCCGACTCCGCGGGGCGATGGCTGCGGCGGGACCGCACCGAGCGCGGAGCCGGCGAGAGGCGAACCCCGCGCTGAGGGGCTGCTGGCCGAGCCGGCCCGCTCTGCGCAACATGGAGGATTCCTCCGAGCTCTGGAGCGAGAGAGACTGAAACAAACTTTGGGATGCTCGGCGGGGAGCTTCGGCAGCCGAGAGCCCCGGGAGCCCTGGCCGGCTCTGTTCCTGCTCGCCGCACGGAGTGCGGGAAGGTCACTCTGCCACCAGGCGCTGGTAAAGTGCCCTGAAAATCACAGCAAAATTAAAATAACACGGCGCTTGTAGTCACTGCAGTCCTGTAAAGGCTGTTCTGAAATGTGCGAGAGCCCTCTCCAAAGCCAGGGACGATCCCGATCTTCCTCAGCTGCCGGCTGCGGGGCATCGTGAGGAACCAGCTGCAGCGACCAATCCCGAATTTTGGGGCGGTTGCAAGTTGCAAGAACTTTGTTCCTTCCACTTCCCTGTCTCTAAATGTGCTCATCTTTCACTGCCTTTGTGTCACCCTTAGCCCGCCCGGGGGATGGATGTCAGCCCCTTCCCGCTGCCGGGCTCTCCCGGGTGCCCGGCGGGGTGCGAGCCGCTCGGCCCAGGCGCGGTTCCGCGGGCGCGCAACCTCCTCCCGCGGGTGCGCTCGGCTGCACGCGTGCGTGGATTTGTGCATGTGGAGGCATTTGTGTTTGAACAGGTTCCCAGACAGAGCTCTGCCTCCCGCAGCACAGCCTGCGTGGAAGATGCTGGCAGGTGGCACCTCGGCAGCTGAACGGTGTCACCAGCACAAACAAACACGCGAGTCTGTCCCCGGCCCCGCTGAGAGGGGAGCTCTGTGCAGCCAGCAGCGCTTACCTGGCTCTGCAAAGGGCGGCCCACACGCGCCGGGTGATGGGCTCGTTCCAGTGCGCCGAGCTGGGACTGGGAGGGAACGAAATAAGTGAAACTTTCCGTAAACAGTCATTGGAGGAACTTTCTCAGTTCACTTAGGAATAATAATTCTCGTGTGTGTGAGAGAGAGGAAGGCAGCAGATATTCGTGCATATAGACACATGCACTGCACTTACACATTCACAACCCTCACTGCCAAAACGCTCAGGAAGTTGTGGAATAATTTGGTTGTTAATTATAAACATTTTTTAAGGAAGAAAAAGAAAATCTATTGAGCTTTCTATCAGACGACTTACAGAGGGAAGAGCAGATGCCCTCATGTGCGTCGGCTTCTTTGGGGTCACAGTCTATTCCAGAGAGCCAGAACGCGTAATTTCATGAAGTGCAAAATTTCCAAACATAACGCATCAAATCGATGGCTGTACAGACTCCATCCACAAAGACCCAGCACACGAGCCTCAGCCCTAAACTCGCTCTTCTCGGCAGTTTTAAAACAAGGTACCAATTATTTATAAGTCACATAATTGGATAACCATCACTCTTGAACTTTCCACCAGCTAAGAATGTTTTATCTTTCCCAACTGGGCACTGCTTACTGCCCTTCTTTGGTGTATATTTTCACTGCTCATACCATTCCTCTCCGCCAAAACTCCACCAACTGCCCGAGACACCTCTTTCGTCCCCCGGCCAGAGTGAAGACAGCGGCTGAGCCGATAAAGGACCACTGGAATTAACTGCTGGTTATAGGAACAGCCAGGGAGGATCAGTGAGGAAGTTTAGTAAACTTGGAACAGCTGCGTCTTAGAAGCCAGCGTGTTTTAGCCGAGCTTTTTAACCTTATTCTCTCCCGAGCAGCGTGTTGATGTTTCGCCTCTTGCTCACTGCAAACAAGGCAGGGAGCGGCGTGCGCCGGGGTGCCCGTGTGGCTGCTCTCACCCGCTGTTCGCACCGCTTCACCGCTCTCCGGGGGTCAGTCCTGGGCACCGAACGGCCCCGGCCTCTCTCCTCTCGCCCCAGCTCCGGCCCAGCTCTGCCGGTGCCTCCCATCGAGCGGGGCAGAGGAGCTGGCGGGGACCGGCAGTTCCTCGCCAGCCGAGTGCCCCCGGACCCGCAGCAAGGGCCGGGCACCAGCGAGCCGGGGCCTTTGGAGCCGCCGGCAGCCGGGCAGCGCTGCCCGCGGCCCGGGGCGGCTGTCGGGGGCGGCGGCGCGGCCGGGGCCGGGAGGAGGGAGCCCGGCGGCCAGTGCGGGGCTGGGGGCTAGCCCGGAGACCAGTGCGGGGCTGAGGGTCTCACCGGGCCCGGGCAGCCCCCGCCGGTGCGGGCGGCCCGCGGGAGCCCCACGGAGGCGCCGGCCGGTCCCGGTTGCGCAGAACGCGGGGGCCCGCGGCCGGTACCGCCCGGCACCCCCTGCCCTCTGTGCCAGGGCAAAGCCTT